AGACTGTATCTCACTAAGTTGACGAGGCTGGTCTTAAATTTGCAGTCCTCCTGCCTCAGTCCCAAGTTTTTGGAATTACAGGCATATGCTATCATGCCTAGCTAGGCAGTGCTTTTCACATCCAGGAATTAATGAAGGATTGATCTTCACAGGCCTGTTGCATTGAAATATTGATTTAAAAAAAACTAATAAGTAGTTTGTAATGATTCATTGAGTGAAAGAAATGTCCAGAGAAGGCATGACTCAGCTGTTAAAAACAGTTGAATCTTGAACTATCCATTGCTTTTTCCTCTGCTAACTTCAGTCCATGGGGTGACTTAGACTCTTTATCTCTGGATCTCTAGGGAATTCTTTCTCTTTTTGAATCATCTTCTGTTGTTCCCTACTCACAGGATTTTTTCTTTATAAGTTTTCAATTTGTTTTTTCATTTCCTTTGTTCTTCCTTTTGATTTGAGAAAATGAAATAAAATGATGATAATTAACTTGGTACGACAAACTGCAAACCAAAGAAATAAAGCATGGTAGCAACAATACCAGAGAACAAAATATATTTTAGTTAAAATTTTCTTTTATTTCCAATTCAACTCAATTACCAAACACAAAGGATGTGCTTGTCTCCTGTATGTGAATAAGAAATGGTTTCTCAGAAATCTTATCATTGAATGTGAAAGATAAAACTCTTAACTCTCCTTGAGAGTTTTGAAAGAATAAACTTGTATTTAATGAATACATCATCATGATATATGCATCTTCCTACCTACACATGAGTGTAACCATTGTGCTATATAATAGAGGGAAGGACATACCAGGTACAGTTGATGACCAGAAGACTTAAATTGGACTCGTGGCTAATCCCAAGTGTAATCTGAGTCCAGGGTATGAGGAAAATTTGTTTTGTTTATAAGATACTAATTCTCAAAGTGTAGACATGGCCTAGTAGCATTAGCATCTGAGCCTTGCACAGTGGCACGGGCCTGAAATCCCAGCGGCTCTGGAGTTTAAGACATGAGAATCCCAAGTTTAAAGCCAGCCTCAGCAATATCGAGGTGCTAAGCAATTCACTGAGACCCTGTCTCTAAATAAAAATACAAAATAGGGCTGGGAATGTGGCTTAGTAGTTGAGTGCCCCTGGGTTCAATCCCTGGTACAAAAAAAAAAAAAAAAAGCATATTTGAGGCTTTATCCAGACCTACTGCCTCTGAAATTCTGGAAATGGACTCTTGCTCTCTGTCTTAGTGGTTCTGATGGACACTAAATGAAATGAATCCAGCTAAATCCACCAGTGAGCACTGACTCTATGATACGACTGCCTTCCTTGTTTTCTCTCTTTCCTTCAGAATCCTGTTCCAACTTGTAGTACCCACACTCTTTGAGCTCCAGCAGATATTCCTTATCACAATACTGTAGGATCTGTCTGTCAGTGGATTCAACAGTAATTTTTCATTGAAGAGTTCCTGTGTCTTCTGCTAGCAGTGATTCAGTACCTTATTTTGCAAACAGTTCACTTCCCAGTGGCCTGACTTGCTACTTGTGCTCTAAGTGAGTGGTCATACTCAGACAATTCTGATTAATACCCTTGTTCAAGCATAATTAATAATATTCCTCTATTAAGTGCTCTGGGTTAGATGATAAATTATACTATAGTGAACTTATTAGAAATTGGTGTAAGAAGGCTTCACAGGAAAGACAATATTTAGGGCCCCAAAATGAAAGATACTTATTTATTATAGGAAGATGAAACAGAAATGGCAATTAGAAAGGTTAGGCTTAGGGTTAGGGTTAGAGAACAAGAAACCTGAGAAGCCACATATTCCAGACCAATAAGAATGTGAAGCAGTAGACTACACGGCAGGAAGCATGAGTAGTTCAAGAAGGTTGGTTTCTGGTGGAAGTAATAATACAAAAATCTGTTGGCAGAGGAGTGATTTGTGTCTTACCCGGAAGGGGTAAGGGCAAAATTGTTCCTTGTTATTCCACAAAACAAATACATTGAGATTCTTTGGGTTGTTATTAGGAAGAAAGCTAGTATATCTTTTCTTTCTCTTTTTGTTTTGGTTCTGTATATTTGAAATGTTTACTACTCTATTTTGCAACAATTCTAGACTGCATCCTTTTAAAGATCAGTCATTGTTAAAACCTGGAAAGGTCAGGCTTTTTCTGATACACACACACAATCAGTAGTTGTATGACATGGTAGAATAATAATTGACTTTCAATCTTGGTACAGGCATTTAAATTCAGTTTAAAAAATAACAAACTTCACTTAATAATACACTTATACTATTGAGATAATATGGCCTCTTGAGAAGAGGGGTAGAATTGTGGAAATGCATAACTAATATGCTGTGATAGTATTTGTCTAAAAAGTAATATGATAGATAGAGTCTACTCTAAAATGTTCACATGAGAATTTTTACTGTAAGCATTTACAATGATACATTATATATTTAGGGTAGTTTCTAGACTTGGCAAACAGTTTACAAAGTGCATATTACATGGCATTGCTACTTAAACATAAAGAATGCTATTGTGATGAAGTAGCATATTTGATTTTACACAGTAGTTAATGTTTTGTTGTTGTTGTTGTTGTTGAACATTAAAGATATGCTTGGCATTGACAAAGCTTTTGGAAGGCTTTGCCCTGAGCATGCCTATAACTGACCTCATGTGTTACCAGTTACCATTATCTTCGTCATATAGACAACCTGTCAATGTCCTTCTCTTTTTCTGTGTGAACATAATAGATCTATATATTTTCTTTCTTTTTGTTTTAACCATAATTAATATATTTGCTTTTTCCCCTTCAGTCTGGAGAAATGAATTTTAAGAAAATAACCTTCATTATTCAATTAACTGTTGCCTTATCCTAATTATTAATTTGTTACATTTCAGCATTAATAGCTCCCTGGAAAAAAAAAGAATAATTAATTTCCTACACTGTTCTTTGTTTAAATTCCCAGAAATAATTATCAAAGCATTTATTTAGTTAAATATTGTTTTTTGAATACAAGTAGTAATTAATACTGTTTTAATTTAAAAAATAATCTCTAACAAAAATAACTAACTAGAAGATGGGTTTATAGATGTGTCAATGATTAAGAAATACGTGAGGAGATAGTATTTTTTTTAGTTACCACATATTGTCTAATTTTTGTTTCACTTTTTTTGAACAAAAGCATATACTTTAAATTTCATCTCATATCTACATATGTATAAAATTAGCATATACAAGAATTTTATTTTAGACAGCTTTTGCATTGCCGTGACACAAACAGCCAATAAGAACAACTTAGAAGAAGGAAAATTCATTTGGGGATCACAGTTTCAGAGGTTTAGTCCATAGATGGCTGACTCTAATGCTCTGGACCCAAAAGAAGACACAACATCATGGGGGGAACACATGGCAGAGAGAAGCTGCTCCCTTCATGGCATCAAGGAGGCCAGGGTTGGCAGGGCAGCACTGAGAAGATGAACCGGGGCATCTTCTGACCACCACCTCTAGCCACGCTCCACCTGCCTACAGTTACCAACCACCATTCTATCCATTCAAACTAGGATGGACCGATTAAGTTCCAGTTCTCATGATCCAATCATTTTGTCTGAATATTTTCTGCATTAATATCAACTTTTGGGGAACACTTCATACCCAAATTTTAAAAAACATGTTTTTTAAACTTATAAATGTTTATTTGCAACTAACTCTGTTTCCTTAATAATTTTCTGGCCCTAAAATTATGTTTGTTTGTTTGTTTTGGGAGATGAGTAAGGCCCAGAATGTAAGAAAGTAATGTGAAATATTTTGTAGAAATAGCTAAGCCTTATCCAAGTCCCAGTCCTGTCTTTTAGTTTAAAATAGTAGGCTTTATAATCACAGGTTTATCTTTACTCACCAGCTTTTAACTAATCAAAGTTTAAAATACTTAAATTAAGCCATGACTACTGGTTATTATAAATCCTTAAAAAACATATTTCCCCCTTTAAGAGGAGATATTTTGGGGTTAAAAGACAATTTGTGATATTTACTAGATGAACAGTAAATAACAGGCTCTTCCAACAGCCATCAGTACTTACCATTTTTATAGTTTTTGTGTTTCTATATGCAGCTCATGATTTGCAACTCATTTTTATATAACAATTTTTTTTTTCTAGTTTTAATGCCCTGAACTTTAAACAAAAAGGGAATCCCACACAACAAGAGATGATAATTAGACCACAACTCCATAAGCATGGCAGTATTATAGATGATTTCAACATACCCTTTTTCCCTTATTTTGTTTTTTATTTGAATATCCATATCAGATGAAGATTAACATCATTAGTTTTGCTCTTAGTAAATCCCTAGGTATAAAAGCAATGCAATCTATTGTTTCTATAAACATATTTACAGCCTTAAAATTGGACCCAACTTTGTCCTTTTCCTTTGCAATATGTTTTCAGGATAGCATTACATAGCAATTCTTGAGGTGCAATTTTAAGGAGTTGTGTGGCTCTGTCTGCAATAATTCTAACCTTGCAAGGCTGACCTGAAAGTAGTCTCAAAAAAATTTGAGCTTGGGAATATTTTTTCCACTTCTGTTACTAAGTCTAATTCAGAGTGAGACATTATCATGCCTGCCTATGTTCTTTCAATAACTGAAATGTGAGAAATAAATATATCAGTATGGATAGACCTGCTTGTGCATGTGCGCCAGAGACAGAAGCTATTCTAAAGTACTATTAAAATCAACTCACATTTGCAATATACCTTTAAATATGTTCATTTTCATTATACAAGTAGTCTACAGAACATTTAAGAAACAGAATTTCAAGAAAAGGAAATTCTTGCAATGTTCTGCCATTAAAGGAAAGGCACATAAAATATGACTAAATAATGAGCGTGACATTACATCTTAGCTTCAAATCACCTTTACCACTGCACTTATTCTTTTCTAAATGCAGCTTTATCATTTTCTACAATTACCATTTTCTGAGTTGAAGCTCACTTTCTTGTACTTTGTAGGTCAATTTCTTCTGGAAGAAGCTCGCCTCGTAGAAGCAGCAGAAATGGCAAAAAAAGCAGCTGAGCTGGATAGTACAGAGTTTGATGTTGTCTTCAATGCTGCCCACATGCTCAGGTCAGATTTTGCTACTAAACCTTAAAAGACCAATGCCCTGCTTTTAAGAAAATAATTATACTATTTTTTCATATCATACTATGCATTCTATATTGTAAATGTCAATCAGGCTGCAGATCCATGAGAAAAGTAGAACTATTTTTTTTCATTATAGTCTAGTGATCAATGCGCATGGCATATGAGCTCTCAGTATTCTGAAAATCGTTGAGGACTCCCTCCCCAACTTGCTTTCCCTTCCCTCCAAAATTACTGGTCAGAAAATACAAAAGATAAACTGCAAAACTGAATTGAATAATTGTCTAATTAAATGTCTCCACAACAAAACATTATGTCAATTAATCAATTGCATCTGCATATTTGTGTATTTGTATTAATTACTATTGAATATGGCATGTGGATGCATTTTAATGTGTTTGATAGTTGGAAGGATTATCAAATACAAATATGCATATGACCTATGAAATACTTAAAATGGCCCTGTAATCAGTACTATTGCTGTGCTGTGAAACAATACATTTTCTAGACCATTACTGTTTCTATTTTCAGAGGGTTATTACAGAAGCTAATTGCAATAGTGAAAAAATAAAAAGGCACATAAACTATTTTTGTTGTGAATATAAAGAGAGTGCATCCATAAGTAGTGTTTTAGGTTAAAGGAGGATGCTTTAACAAAACTCAAATGATTTATACAGTTTTTTAAAAGCAGTATTTGCTCTGTTAGCAATATGTGTACTCCTTTACCCATATTCTTACTGAATTTCATTCCATTAAATTCCCCCCCACCACCAAGTGCTTCATTAAGTGACACTCATGCTATGGTGTTTGTGCTTATCTTCTACTGATGGATTTGTAATTACGTAGATCATTCTTACAAGGTAAGAAAGATAGTAGAGAAGTTGGTTCACATTTGGGTGATTTTTAAATGAGGACTTTTGATCTGAGGAGTAGCTCAGCAGTAGAACATGTGCTTAGCATGCACAAAACCCCGAGTTTAATCCCCAGCATACATACATAAATGGCTTTTGGAAAAAGTAGAGGAACTATTTTCAAAACATTTACATTGAGATCATTACACAATAACATGTAGTTGTAAGATATAATACTCTAGCTCACATCTTATGTGGGCAAGAGTATGGGTACCCCTTGGAGGGATGGGTCTGTCTGCTAAATAAAGCTATGAAAGTAGTACCATGAAATAAACGCAAAAGACCAGAAATGTTTTTTAAAGAGCAGGGGCAGTGACCAGTTAAGCCAATCGGTTAAGAGGGGTAAGGCTTCTAACAAAAATGGAGCCCATGCATTATGGTGATACAGATCAAAAGGATGGGTAGGTATAAGATTTCAATGTGGGAGGGGTCTTGCCTGGGTGCTTGCTTCTTCAGGAAAACCAGGATATGGGTAGGGGTAGGCAGGCTATTTGGCTCTTAGCGGGTCATTCCCTTCTCTAAGGCTGTGCTTGAATGTGAGCTATGACTCAGAACAGGGCGCCAAGGTGAATTGGGCATTCTCCAATCTGTGGATTCCGCCTGGGAGTTCCCAAGAACAGGCTTCCCTGCCTAATGGCGCCAACGTTGCTCAGTCCACACACTTCTCATAGATGGCTTCCCACATAATATAGAGAAATCTCCTGTACCATTTATCCAGCTTCATCATTGATAATATCTTACAAAACTACAGCATATTATCTCAACAAGCATATTGATATTTATTCAGTCCCTGGCTCTATTGGGTTTCTCCAAGATTTACTTGTACAGGTGTGTGTTTAGCTCTCCACAATTTCTTCATATGTGCAGGTTTGTGTGTCCATCATCACAGTCAGAATACAGTATAGTTCCATTGTCACAGATATCCCTCGTGTTATTTTCTAATCACATTCTACCCCTTTCCCTTGTACCCCAGGAACCAATATTTAAAGCAAATTTTGTTGACTGTGTTTATCATTTGAGAATATTATTAGACTGTATCTTCAGGGCCTCTTGCTTAGCTTTTTGTTAGTTTAAATAAGGATTTTAAAGCCTATCTGGGAGTTGGAGGTACACGATGAGGTTGCAGTTGTATTCCTTCACTCTGCTGTTAGTATTTAGCATTGCTAAGGCACTTGTTTTGATGATGACCCCCAAAAAGTTGACACCTATACAGAAAAGTCAAAATTCAGTTGATCATTAGTATCTTTATAAAATGAATTATAGTCAATCTGCAAGAACTTTCAATGCAAGGATAATTTTTACAAAATACTGTCATTCTTATGACAAGGTTAGGTAATATGGCAGGGAAGAGGACTTTTTGTTCTTCATGAATAAAACAGTATGCTTTTACTCACAATAAACCATTTGTAAGGATGGGAAAGCACAAGTTTCTGTAGGCTAATTCATCTTACTTATTATAAGTATTTTCATCAACAGATTATTTTTGTACATATTAAATCAGTATCTGGAATTCAAGGTCTACCAATGGAAACCCATTATAAGAACATTACAAAAAATGTCCTTGTTACATCCATCACTCATAATTTTTTCTGACTTACCACAGTTTTAGAAAACAGTGGAAAGTTTTTGTTACGTGTTGGAGACGTGGAAATCTTTAGGATCTATTTTTCAGGACCTTCTTTCCAGCTTTCTGCAGTCTGCATTCCTCATTAAGTTTCAGTCACTCAACGCCCTCCTATATTGACTGCACACGTGACTGTTGCAGCCTGACAATGATATCCTACACAGTTTGGTGGCGGTCCCCGTGACTAATTTTATGTAGCTTTTCTGCTTTTCAGCTCCATCAAATTCAAATATTTCTTCAGTGTTTACTATGCAAGCTGAACACCCATCTCTTATCAGTAAAGAAAGTTCAGCACTTTGTTTGCTGAAAGGATAAGAAAGGTTTTTGTATCTCTTAATGTAGTTTTATCAAAGTGGTTGGCTATCAAAATTTTGTTATGTATGTTACATATAGTTTCCCCTGCAACTGACAAAGTCCTAAATTGATTTTGATAGTCATTCTTCCCTTGAGAGCTCAGTTCTTTTGAGAGATTTTTTAGAAGACAAAATTGGCAAGGTTTAATAACCAGTTGTATGTGAAGAAAATGGTAAAGTCTCCCCCTTTTTGACTTGGTTAGCTGGATCTATGGTTTGTCTGATGTTCCAAATCAGTAATTTAGAGACAGCTTATAGTGCAAGATATGGTTCCACCATACTGATTTAACTTCCCTTTTTTGGCTGCTTCTTATTGAAATAATAAAAAAAAAAATCTATTAACAAGGGAGGAGAAAATTTTGTTCATTCTAATTTTTTTTTTTAAGTGACTGCCTCTGAATATGACTGATGGAAAGAAATGAGGGCCTGAGGCTAGCCCTCCAGGGGCATATCTTTATCTGATTGGGACCTTCAAAAGTTTTGATATTTGAGAAATTTCTGACAGAACCATTGTAACTCGCAGTAATACCTGAAGAGCTTTCTCTGTAGAAAAAGCAGATGTAAAGTTTTAAGTTATATGATTTGAATTAGGCATTTCAGGTAAGGATGACAACTCGGAGGTATCAGAGTTAGGCTGCTTAGTGAAGCACACTGACTGTAAAAACTGAAGGGCCTTTTAGAACATGCCTAGTTCCTGTTTCAAGGCGATTCACAAGAACTCTAGGAGCTATGGAAGTAGTAGTAATGCTGGTCACCAAAAATTTGTCCCAGAACAATAGGATTGCCGTCTCCCCGAGTTCTCTGAAGTTGCAGACCTGCACAGGCCTTCCTTAGGATGGAATGTGTGTGAATGTGATGTATGTCACAGATGAGCCAAAGCTACAAGAGTGAGCACTCTTCCCTTTTTCCTACTCGAAGACTAGTAACTAGAGGAGTCAAATAACCAAAAGTAACAGAAGTAATCTAAGGGACCCAAGCCTACCTTCTTACCTGCATAGGTTGAATGAGTGAGAAATAAACATTTTTGGTCTTAAGTGAGATTATAATGTGCTTATTACCACAGTAGAGCTTAACTTACCCTGAAACAAAATATATCTGAAAGTAAAATAAGTAGTTGGAAAGTGAGACTTTATAACATTGGAAAAGTTAACTAAAGAGTAATAGGATATTTGAAATTATATCTGCGACAGAAGCAGTGTACAATTCTTAGACTGATAAATAGAAGGTGTCCATGTTTCCCCAACACTCAATGGAAAATCATAAAAATGTGAAAATGATGACTGACAGATTCAAAGACTGGAAAATAGAAAACTCACTCTTGTAACTATATGTAATTACACTAAGTATATATACATACATATATGTACAATCATATATAGTATGTATACACTCATGTGTTTATATATAAATCATATAGCATGTATAGTTTTATATAAATATATAGTATCTACTTAGTATGTGATATATAACTATATTTATGTATATATGTATTAAATATAGCATATGTATATATATATATATAATTTTATTTGTCACATATAAGTGTTAATAAAAGAAATTTCTGAAGGAGGGAATGGATCAGATAAGCAGTTATCATTAAATAGGGAAATTATTCTAAGGCAGGATGAAGGCTTTCAATTACCATTTGAAAGCAAAGTTGATGAAAATAGATCCATTCCTAAACTGCCCGTCTTCTACTGGTCACAGATTTTTAGATGCAAAGTAAATAATCCAGTCTGGTCAGATTAAGCAGAAGCAGGGTAGATTGAGGAGTACCGTGTGGCCCACAGATTCTCTTTGGGGGCTTGGGAGCTCTACTGGAGCAATCCCCAGCCACCCAGCTTTCCCCAGGCCTCAGCAGCTTTTGCAGTCCCAGAGCTGTGCCACCATCACCCATGAGGAACCAAACAGAGCAAGTGCCACACATGTTAAAAGGCAATTGTCCTGGGCACAGTGGCCTCCCATAAGCAGACTTCTGAATCCCATTCTCTGGAGATTGCATCTGAGTTTTGGAACTTGAGTCATGTGCTGGAAGAAAGTTGGACAATGAAGGGACTTGGGGCTTCTGCCTTGCTTGGGAAGGTGGCATCCACTTGC